CACAGCAGAGATGGACCACTTCACAGGCAAGATTAGGTCCCCCCCTAAGCATGTTATTTTATGCCCTGTTCACGCTAGTGCAGGCGGGAGCCACTGTGGGACCCGCACTTCATCCTGCAGCAGCAACCACCCACACACAAAATGTGGCACCCATGAGCAGGTGCCATTAATCTTAATGGCATACCGTTTGCACTGGAATTTGCACCAGTACTTAGATTTCTGGAAAGCTGCAGGGACCTTTTCCCTGTGTTTTGCAAGGCACGGCAGCCCATTCAAATGTCTGCAAAATGGCACTAGTGTGAACCAAGGGTAAAGGAACTGGACATTTTTATTATTTCACTTGAACCACTTGCCCTCCTGAGGATTTACCCCCCTTCCAGACCAGGCCTTTTTTCGCCATTCGGCGCTGCACTATTTCAATTGGTAATTGCGCGGTCATGCAATGCTTTATTTTCACACAAATAGAGCTTTCTTTCGGTTGTATTTGGTCACCTGTGCACTTTTTATTGTTTGCACTATAAACAAAAAAAGACCAAACATTTTGAAAAAAAAAAACAATATTTTTTACTTTCGGCTATAAAAAAATATACAGTACACTCAAAGTTAGTCATAAATTTAGGCCAAAATGTATTCTGATACTACAATTTACACCATTTTTTGCTGTACAGCGCTGCACTAGTTTAACTGACAATTGCGTGGTCATGCAATGCTGTACATAAATAACATTTTTGTCCTTTTTTCACACAAATAGAGATTTCTTTTGGTGGTATTTGATCACTTGTGCACTTTTTTTTTTCGCGTTATAAATCATTTCTGTCCTAAAAAACATCCAAAAAACTGAAATTTCCTCATAAATTTAGGCCAAAATGTATTCTGCTACATGTTTTTTGTAAAAAACATCCCAATTAGTGTATATTTATTGCTTTGTGTGAAAGGTATAGCATCTACAAACTATGGTATAGATAATGGATTTACACAGCTTTTACTTTCTGACTGCCTATCACATTTCTTGAGATGCTAAAATACCAAGATAGTACAAACACTCCCAAGTAGACACCTTAAGCTATCTGAAAGAGGCATACTAAGTCCATGGAAGATTTATTTTTTTTCCACAAGTTTCTGGAAAATGACCAAAACATTTTTTTTTTTACACAGAGTTGTCAATTAAATGATATATTGCTCACACAAGCCATGGGTATATGTGGAAATACACCCCAAAATACATTCTGCTACACCGAGTATGGGGATACCACATGAGTGAGATTTTTTGGGAGCCTAGCCACATACAGGGGCCTGAAATCCAATGATCACTTTGAAAGCCTGAAGATGAGTAACATCCTCATTTCACTTTCTTGCTACCTATCACAGTTTCGGAGGCCCTGAAATGCCAAGATAGCAACAACCCCCCCCCAATTTGCCCCTTTTTGGAAAGTAGACACCCCAAAGAAGTCAAAAAGAGGCATTGTGAGTATTTTGCAGATCTAATTTTTTCTCACAAGGTTTTGAAATTAAAAAAAAGAAAACAAAACATATGTTTTTTTTGTTTTCTTTCTTCATTTTCCAAAAACTTGTGGCAACAAACAAGATCTGCAAAATACTCACCATGCTTCTTATCAAATTCCTTGGGGTGTTTACTTTCCATAGAGGGTTAATTTTCAGGGCCTCCAAAACTGTGATAGGTAGTCAGGAAGTGTAATGAGGAAATAAAGCCCTTTAAAATCCTGAAGGTGCTTATTGGATTTTGGGGTTTTGGGGGGCTAGACTGTCTCTTGCATGTGGTATCCCCATGCTCGGGTGAAGTAGCAGAATGTATTTTGGGGAGTAATTCCACATATACCCATGGCATGTGTGAGCAATAAATAATTTAAGTGATAATTGTGTTTAAACATTTTTTTTGTTATTTTCCAAAAACTTGTGGTAAAAAAAAAATCTTCTATTGACTCACCATGCCTCTTTTGTTTCTTTCGCCATATTCCAAAAACTTGTGGCAAGAAACAAGATCTGAAAAATACTCACCATGCTTCTTACCAAATTCCCTGGGGTGTCTACTTTCCAAAAAGGGTTCATTTGGGGGGAGTTTGGTGCTATCCTGGCATTTCAGGGCCTTTGAAACTGTGATAAGTAGTCAGGAAGTGTGATGAGGAAATAAAGTCCTTTAAAAGCCTGAAGGGGCTTATTGGATTTTGGTGTCCTGTACTTGGCTAGACTGCCAAAAAGTATCTCACATGTGGTACCCCCCCATACTCAGGAGAAGTAGCAGAATGTATTTTGGGGAGTAATTCCACATATACCCATGGCATGTGAGAGCAATAACTCATTTAAGTGACAATTTGGTGTATCACTCACTCACATCACTCACTCTTCTAACCACCTGAAGACCAAGCCTTTTCTGACACTTTTTGAGTTCACATGAAAAAAAATCAGTATTTTTGCTAGGAAATTACTTTGAACCCCCAAACATTATATATTTGTTTAAAAGCAGACACCCTAGTGAATAAAATGGTGGGTGCTGCAATTTTTTATGTCACATAGAACTTGCGCAGTGATTTTTCAAATGTAATTTTTTTTTTAAACAAATACACCTTTTTTACTTTTAATGCACAACAGCACAATATATTGGCCAATTATTTGGTACAATATAAAAGATGATGGTATGCTGAGGAAACTAAACATGACATGCTTTAAAGCTGCGCATGCCCTGTGCAATGGTGACAATCTGCATACGTTTAATATTCATAGGCAACATTTTAAAAGCCTACAAGCTACCATTTTAGATTTACAGAGGAGGTCTAGTGTTAGAATTACTGCCCTTGATCTGATGTTCGTGGCGATACCTCACATGCATAGTGCAACCGCTGTTTACATACCAGCACAGGGTCAATGCTCGCACACTCACTGGGGGGGGGGGGGGTCAAAGGTGCCTTGTTTTTTTTAAGTTAATTTGATTTTTTAAATGATTTTTAAACTGTCCCTTTGTTTTTTTATCCCTTTTAATGCTATCACAGGGAATGCAAATAGCCCCTATAACTTCAATGGGCATTGTCATATATTCTTTTTTGAGAAATTTGGGGTCTATCAGACTCTAGATCTCTCCTCTGCCCTTACATTATCTAATCAAACCAAGATCGGTGTGATCAGATGCTTTTCCAGTTTACAAATGGCACTGTTTATTCCTGCGAAACTGAAGTGATGAAATGCTTGTAGCTTCCAATTTCTTAGACTATAGAGATGATTGCCATCATTCCAGTCTCCATTCAGCTCTTTCGTCAGCTAGCAGAAACACCGGCTGCATTCTCAGGTTCCCCCGATGGCACGGGACTGCCGAGAAGGTCGTAGAAGGCAGCAGGGGGTCATCTTTTCCCACTGCTTGTAAAAGCAATCCTGTAGCTAATTAGCCACTAAGATTACTTTTACATGAAAGTCGATCGCCAGCTGAAACAAACAATACCAAGATGATGCCTGCAGTTGCAGGCATCATCCTGGTATAACCACTCAAAGTCCAGTGATGCGCCAGTACATCGCTGGTCCTTGTTGGGTGTATATGCTATGTTTCTTTTTTTTTTTAAGCAGCCTGTGGGCTGAATGAAAAAAAGAGAAGAAATCTCTGCCAGAAAACGTGTGTGGTATGCCCACCATTAGAATATACCGCCCTGCATCCACCCACTTCTAATGGTGGGCACACATGAAATGTGCCAAAAAAAATATTATAAAATATATATGCCGAAGCATAGGGGCCATCCACCCACTGGCCACCCCAGGCCCGCATGCTTTGGCATATATTCTTTTTTTAACTGTGGATGAAAAATCTCATCCAACAGCACTGCACAAACCTACTTATGTATATTCTGAGAGCAAGACCCTGTTGCTGTTTGAATAAACAAGTCAGTGCTGCAGCTGAATGACATCCTCATTTCTCAAGTAGGCATTTTCCCCTTTCTAAGACGGGTATTTACAAGCTGTTGGGGGAAGCCCCGGCGATTAGGTCGCATGGTGCTAGATGAGCCAATTCCAAGATTGTACAAATAGTGGCACATTTGAATAAAAATTGTTCACGTGTAAGTGGTGCCCCATATGGAAAAAGGATGACACCAAGTCCCAAACTATTTTGCCACTGCTCCCCATGTAGTCTTGGCATCCAGGGGACTCTATGTGACTATATTTTCCCTCGTTAATCCAAAACATATATGTATAGCCTGTTGCCCTCTCACAGTTCTTATACCCCATATCTGGCACGCTTGCTGGGGAGAAATTGTTTGAATGCGAGGCGGCCAGAAAAATTAATGTGGGACTCATCAATGCAGATGTTTTGCTGGGGAGAATAGACATCTGCAAATTTTTGGTTAAGGTGACTAACGAGGGGCTGAATTTTGTGGAGCCGGTCAAATTCAGGGTCACCCTGAGGATGACAGAGTGTGTTGTAATTGAAATGCATAAAAACACATTATACTACCATATCTATGCCTGGCCATGGCAGCAGAGAACATGGGCATATCATGAATTGGGTCTGTGGACCAATACAACTGCAATTCATTTTTTTTAGTAATGCCCATGTTGAGGGTTAAGCCCAAAAACACTTTAAATTCGGAAACCGTAATGAGTTTCCATGTGAATGGCCTGGCAAAGTTTGAATTTGGGTTGGCGGCGATAACTTGTTGTGCATATAAATTGCTTTGATCCACAATCAATGCATGAAGATCTTCTGTGAAAAACAGCTCCAAAAAATCGAGTGGAGTATTTAAATTTGCTGTTTCCACCTGATTTTCTGGGTTGGACAGTGAATGGGGGAAGTACAAGTGCTGCAGGATTTGTGGGCTACCAATCAGGATTTGCAAGCACATCTGGAAGGATATTAGGGGCTCTACGTACATTGTTTAAAGAAAATATGAGTGAGCAGGCAAAAAACATGGGATTCATATTCAACTGTACGTCATAAAAGAATGGCACAATCATAAAAAAACATGGCATCAAGTAAACAAAGAAAATAACCCCTGTTCAAATGTCTGCGTACCAGGGGCGGACTGACCATTTGGAAACTCGGGCACTGACCGAGGGCCCAGGGTCATTAGGGGGCCCCATGAGATAACCCTGGTACCTTTTTCATAGGCTTTTTTGAGTTTGGACAAGGACACAGGGGCCCCATGATCCCCTATTGCTCGGGGGCCCCATGAGTTGTAAGTCCGCCCCTGCTGCATACCCTCAGTTCTTAGCACTGTGTATTGCCTCCTTTAGCATTAATGACAGTGTGCAATCTTTTGTAATGGTAATTTGTAATAGTTGTCTATGAGGCCAGGAATATTCCCCAGTGCCCATCCCCTCCCATACTATTTTTTGACACCCCCTTGCTTATTAGCTGAGAAAATGGTAATTTTTAATTAACAAATTTGATTTAAATAGGGTTCGGCATTCAAACTTCTTTGAAGATTGCCAAACCCTGCTCAAACTGAAGCCAGGGCAGTTGGGTACATCACTACCCAGGATCCCTGTTAGCTTACAAACAGAAGCCAGCTGGGTCTGCAATAGCATTGCTATTGCCCCTAAATGACAGACTTCCAGCCACATCAGCCAATAATGGCCAGTTTTTTTGCACATTCGCTAAACTGTGAACAGGATGGGTTTGGCCCAAACTCATGTATTTAAGCCAAATCTTTTCCATACTGTATAGGAATCTTTTTGAATAAGCAGATTCGAATTGATATCTTTCCTGAATCAGATTTTGCCAAGATGTTGCCATTTTGCAAAAATGCATTGAAATAAGTAGGGTAGGAGAGATTAAAGTTTATGAAAACAGTAACAATGAACATCTCTGATTTCCCCTATTTTGTCTGTTAAACATATCATTAAAAGCATTTTGCTTATCTGTTTAATAAGTGCAATAATATACGGTACCTATTCATCCTGCCAGAAATTCAGTGAGCTGATAAGTTCTTATGTACTCTGCAGTGTTATCTCAAGCAGGGATCTCAGCTCTGTACATTTTACCTCTTGTTAGCTTCATTATTTATCTTTTTCACAGTGCAAAAGCAGTTAAGTATAACCTCATTTTTAATTTAGGGGAAAAATAGCCTTGATAACCAGTTTAAAATACATCTCCCTTATAGCTGGCATTTTCACTGTGCTTCTATGAGGTAATTATTGAGAAAAGTGGAAAAAGGAGCCTATGAGACTTATGAGATTTAAAAAAAAAAAAAAACGGTTTAAGAAAAACTGGAATTTCAATAGTCACATTTTAGTTTAATAAAGAAAAAATTAATTCGCATTTATACAATATTTGCTTTGTGAATTGAACATTTTGCTGTCTGATAAATTACCAAGTGTGTATAAAGCAATTCAAACACCTTTGTGACTTAAAGTTGACATAGGTTTATTATTTAAAAAAAAATAAAGCGGTTCTAAAGGCCAAAACGTTTTTCATACCTTAATATATTCTCTGCATTCATGGTAAAAAAGGTTGCCCTAAGTAAATAAACACAAACATGTCAAGCGTTAAGCTGCATTCACCTGTGAAACTGTTACAAAGTTTGGTACACAAACTTTTTCATAGGTGACACTTTACAAGCCATTACAGGTCATCAGTTTAGAGGTAAACATAAATAAAATCCCCAGAACTATTGTTCTCACTCTGGCTAATATGTGTAGTGCAATCAAAGCTTTCTTATGTAGGGGATCTATGTTTACATGTGCATAATCATAGTTACATATAGTTACATAGTCTGGCTGAAAAAAGACAAAAGTCCATCTAGTTCAACCATAAAGAAAAAAAAAGTTATAACCCTATACCCACAGTTGATCCAGAGGAAGGCAAAACAAACAGCAAACCATGGTCCAATTTCCCCTGCAGGGGAAAAAAATTCCTTCCTGATCCCCGGAGTGGCAATCGGATATTCCCGGGATCAATTTTACCTATAAGTGTTAATATTCAGTTATATTATGTGTATCTAGGAAAGAATATAGGACTTTTTTAAAGCAATCTACTGAGCTGGCCAGAACTAACTCTTGAGGGAGTCTATTCCACATTTTCACAGCTCTTACTATTAAGAAACCTTTGAAGATTACATTTCTTTTCCTCCAGACATAAAGAGTGCCCCCTTGTCCTCTGTGATGACCTCAGGGTGAATAATTCTACACTATATGAACCACTGATATATTTATACATGTTGATCATACCCCCCCCCCCCCTTATCCCCTCTTCTCAAGAGATAATAAATTAAATTTCTTTAATCTTTCCTCATAGCTGAGCTCCTCCATTCCTCTTATCAGTTTGGTTGCTCTTCTCTGCACTTTCTCCTTTTCCCCAGTATTCTTTTAGTGACTTGGTGCCCAAAACTGAATGGGTATATGCCATCCAGTCCAGGTGCTTTATTCACCTTTATTCTGTCTAAATATTTGTGGATCATATCAATTGTAAGCCGATGTGGATCATCTGGAGCTGTGTCAATACCATGCTCATTATGGACAAGAGCTACCCCATGCTCCTTTGTATACACAGAGCTGAAGAAGGAATTTAATAAATTTGCCTTCTCTTTTCCCCCAGTCACCCACTGTAGATTATTTTGTAAAGGGCCTACATGCTTGGACCGGACCTTTTTACTATTAATATATTTGAAGAATTTTTGGGGGTTTGTCCTTCTATCTTTTACAATCTGTCGGGTTTTTTTTTCAATTTTTGTGTCCTTGATTTCCTTTTACATATTCTGTTATATTCTTTATAATGTTTAAATGATGATAGTGTTCCTTAATTTGTATATTTTATAAAAGCTATTTTCTTGTTACTTATAGCTTTTTTAACTTTGGCTGTAAGCCACATAGGTTTTATTTTTAGCCTTTTATAGCCACTATAATGTATAGCAGTGAGCAAACCTTTTGGCACTATATAAATACTGTATAATAATAATAATAATTGTCCCAGCCATTGCAGCCCTTTCGATCTTCCACCTCCTCATTAACACTGGGTGGCCTATAACAAACACCAATGGTTACCTTTGTAGTACACACCCCCATGTGCAGTTCGACCCATAATGCTTCAGATTCATCACACACTCTATAAACTAGGTCCTCTTTCACACTCACTTTGAGATCACTTCTCACATAGAGGCAGACACCACCATCTTTCCTTTTTACCCTATCTCTCCAAAAAAGATCAAAGTAAGGAATATCAATGGCTCAATCATGTCAAGAATGAAAACAAGATTCAGCAATACCAGTTAAATCATAGTTCTTTTCATGCACCAAAGCTTCCAACTCACCTATTTTGCTTGGCAGACTTCTGGCATTGGTGAACAAACACTTTAATTCATTGACACCTTTTGCACAGTAGGTGGGTATCTTTACATTTTTGGGGGGTTTAAGTGCACTGGATTATGCTGTAAATGTGTTTGCTAATAGGCCAGGTGAACTATGCCTCAACATGTGCACCTTGTGAACGGTGTCAGTAACTGAGTAGAGAATGACCAGCTTGAACAATGTTAGTGATAACTCAAATGGCTTGAGAATGGGACTCTTTCACCTGATCTGTGGCATCATTCTGTAGATGTGGCCTCCAGCGGTCCTGCGGTTCCCCCTTCAGAGATCTTCCTGACAGCAGCACCCCGAGTCGCCGGGCAACAGGGTGGTCCTCCAGACTTGACAATGTCAGCTGTCAATGATTCCTCTCTTTTCCTGCACTCCCTCATTCTGTGGCCTGGTCCAGTGCTCTGGTGTTCTGCACATCCTTTTCCTCACACCTACCTTCCAACTCTTCCAGCTCACTTCCTGCCTCTGCGTTCCTGGATTCTGTATATATCTGCCCCCGCCCACATGCCAGCTCCTCTGGGATATGTAGTCTTTTAATCCTCAGTTTCACAGCAAAGTCCTGCAGTCAGCTTACAATGTCCATAAATCTTTTCACCAGAGTGTGTGTGCCACTGAGTTTCAGGACACTGCCACCTTGTGTCTCTATTACCATCCTGCAGTCTGAATAATAATGGTGTTACACCTATATATGCATATGTCAAGGAACATGAGAAATGTGCACAACATGTAGTGGCAAATGCATATCTGTTTAGAGATTGAAATCCATAAGGAAAAGGTAGTTTAGAATTGTTAGATTGATTAAAGAACAATTTATATCATTTAGAGGAAAGCATGGCGAATGGTGGAAATGACTATATTTTAATGCTCAGGGATTCATTTTGAAACCTAAATGTACTAGCATGGAATCATTTGTCTCAAAGGCAAACAGTACCTTTGAAGCATTTTGTCAATGATGCTATTGAAAGCCAAAAATATCAGAAAATGCTCCTAAGAAAAAAAAGAATGCCTAGAGAATTGTCACAGGATCAACCCCTTTCTAACCCTCATGAAAGGTTTTCATAACAGACTTTCTATGTAGTCATTGATCATGCAACAACCAGCCTGGATGTAAATGTTATTAATGAATGAAATTTTGACATGTGATTTGTCTTATTTAAACCTAAAAGACTTTATTTAGATCAAAAAAGTGACATTCCAATAGAGGCTTTGCAAACTGTAGTACAGTTGGCGGAAGTTGATACTGTTTAATTTAAAATTCCGGAGAAATTGATTCAACTCTAAAGAAACCAAAAGTCTACAACTGGACAGAATCTATTGGAGTCCCTTATTTTATTGAACATAGAAAGGGATATCAGCAGAATAGATCAGTTTATGTTACCACCTGTGCAAAAAGTCCATCCGTGAAATTTCCTTGCTACTAAGTATTCCATGGTCAACTGTTATGTGATATTATAGTGTGATATTATATTATGTGATATTATAATAGTGATATTATAACAAAGTGGAAGCAACTGGAACAACAGCAATTCAGCTACAAAGTGGTAGGCCACATATAATGATATAGTGGGGTCAGCACATGCTGAAGTGCACAGTGAGCAGAAGTCACCAACTGTCTACAGAGTCAGTAGCTAAAGACCTCCAAACTTCGTGTGTGGCCATCAGATTAGCACAATGACAGTGCATAGAGAGCTTCATGGAATGGGTTTCCATGGCCGAGCAGCTACATCCAAGCCTTACATCACCGAGTGCAATGCAAAGTGTCAGATGCAGTAATGTAAAGCACGCTGCCACTGGACTCCAGAGTAGTGGAGGCATGTTCTCTGGAGTGGGGAAACACACTTCCTTGTCTGGCAAACTGAGGGACGTGTCCGGGTTTGGCGGTTGCAAGGAGAACGGTATTTGCCTGACTGCATTGTGCCAAGTGTAAAGTTTGGTGGAGGGGGGATTATGGTGTGGGGCTGTTTTTCAGCATTTGGGCTTGGCTCCTTAGTTCCAGTGAAGTGAACTCTTAAGGCGTCAGCATACCAAGACATTTTGGACAATTTCATGCTCCCAACTTTGTGGGAACAGTTTGGGGATGGACCCTTCCTGTTCCAACATGACTGCGCACATGTTCACAAAGCAAGGTCCATAAAGATATGGATGAGTGAGTTTGGGGTGTAGGAACTTGACTGGCCTGGCCTTAACCCGACAGAACACCTTTGGGATGAATTAGAGTGCAGAATGCAAGCCAGGCCTTCTTGTCTGACATCAGTGCCTGACCTCACAAATGCACTTCTGGAAAAATGGTCAAACATTCCCATAGACACACTCCTAAACCTTCTGGACAGTCTTCCCAGGAGAGTTGAAGCTGTTATGGCTGCAAAGGGTGGGCCAACTCAATATTGAACCCTGCGGACTAAGACTGGGATGCTTTTAAAGTTCATGTGCATATAAAGGCAGGCGTCCCAATTCTCTTGGCAATATAGTGTATATGCAGCCTCTCGGTGGGTGGGTCTTAACAACGAGAGGCCGCATATACACCTATCCAAAAAAAAAAAAGGATAACTGTGCTGAAAGCATGCACCATGTGCGCTCCCGACAGTTACCGGAGGGTAACAGAAAGCTTCTGATCTCTACTTGCGATCAGGAGCTTTCCAATCATGTAATGATGTGATAGCCAATTGTGACAGTCACATGGTCACAAACCCTGCCCCACCTCCCAGTATCTACAACCCTCTAAAGGATCAAGAGGCACCAGGGGGTTAAATAATTTTGCTATTTTTCTTCTGTTCTGCAAAAAATTCTTCATTACAGCTGAATACAAAACTATAGTCAGTGCACTCTTGTGTTCGATTCAGCTGCAAACTGGTGGGGAGGTAACTTCTGTCAAAAAGACATGCTGGAAAATGTTTGTCAATCAGTGGCTGCAGCCCAAGGGTGGTCTGACCATTTGGAAACTCCGGCACTGCCGGAGGGCCTGGGGTCAGTAGGGGGCCCCATGAGATGCCCCTGGTACCTTTTTCATAGGCTTTTTTGAGTTTGGGCAAGGACACAGGGGCCTCATGATCCCCTATTGAGGGCCAGGGGTCAGTAGGGGGCCTCATGAGATGCTCCTGGTACCTTTTACATAGCCTTTTTTGAGTTTGGGCAAGGCCACAGGGGCCCCATGATCCCCTATTGAGGGCCAGGGGTCAGTAGGGGGCCTCATGAGATGCTCCTGGTACCTTTTTCATAGCCTTTTTTGAGTTTGGGCAAGGCCACAGGGGCCCCATGATCCCCTATTGCCCGGGGGCCCCATGAGTTGTCAGACAGCCCCTGCTGCAGCCTATTGACTGCAGTGGCTGACTAGTGTTTTCTAACAGCAAGAAGTCCTTTGTCCACCTCACTTGTGTAGATGGAGAAATCTATTACCCATCTATGGCCAGGTTTAGTATAAGTCTCTTGGATCATTACAGTGGTCTGAAAGGGAAAGCATCCATTACTTCTTTACTATTGAAAGCGAGCTTGTGAAATCTGAGTTTTAAGTAGTCAAGCATTTGTGGTGCTCTTTTGGGAAGACTGGCTGCAGACTCATTAGAAGGAAAGCAATTTAAACAGTCATCCACATAGACGTTAATTTATATGGATTTTCTAGCATGTGAGCCATACTTTGTCTCACCCTCTGAATCCCTAGATAGCAACTGTAGGGGAAGGACTGTTGACAACATTTGTACTCTCATAATGTACTGTATGACATCTTTGGAAGAATTGTTGTCTTTAAACTAAAGATATCTCAAGAAATGAACAAGAAAGCAACTGACATCTGTCAACTATGAGAGCATCAGAGTCTCCGCAACAGCATAAGAGCTCTCCTAAAAGTGAGGTATTAAGGTTTGTACTTGTCAAGAGGACTTCGTTTAGGGAGACACCTACGGATATGGCAATAGAGTAGAACACTACTAGAGCAGAATACTACAATAATCTGGCCTTGCTTTTTTGGGTGATATGCCCCTAATATTGACAGGTGCCAGCACTCCTCAGAGTATGTAAGAGGGGGAGCTATTTCTGCATGACTGTTCTTAAAGATTTTCTTCATAGTTACATAGTCTGGCTAAAAAAGACAAAAGTCCATCCAGTTCAACCATAGAAAAAAAAAAGTTATAATCCTATACCCACAGTTGATCCAGAGGAAGGCAAAAAAAAACCAGCAAAGCATGATCCAATTTGCACCTGCTGCTTCATGAAAGAATATAGGTGATCTCATTTTCCTAGGGAATTATATCTAAAAGTAAATCAATGCTTTAATACTTGTTCTCTATTATTAGGTAGGCTTCACCTCTGTGGACAAAGGGAAGAGGTGCAATACATGACTGCTTCATCATTTGTAAGAAGAGTTTGCCCTCAAAACACCTTGCCACCTGATTGTCATCTTATGTTCTTTGAAAGACTGTGCAACCTAGATGATCTTGATTACTGTCACATGCAAGGTTGTCAAGGTTGTCAAGGTTTATTTACTTGAGGCAAATAGGCTGCACACTTTGCAAGGTAGTTTGCCCAAGAGCTTAGCAAGTGAGGTGAAGTTCTGCTGATTTCCATCATCCAATCATGTGTAAGCAAAAATGCTGTTTTTAATTTTCCTTTCATGTGATGAAATTACAATGAATCCAAAAAAAGCTATAATGAAATTAACAAATGCATTTGTCTCATTTATTTCATTCGGATGGAGTCACATGATGCGATAATAGTTCGGGCCCAAGGGGAAATTAATTTAATATCTGTATTTGTTCACAATACAGATTCAGATAACAAATGGATCCGAATTTCGTTCCATTCTTTAATTCAGATGCACATTTCTCCTGGTGGGCTGGACTAGCATCTGAAAATAATGAATCCTTTTAATTTGAATCCGATTCAATAATATATCGAATATATAGCAATTTTCCGGAACTGATACATTTTTCGAATCCACCCAGACCAACGAATGTACAAAAAGAATACCAAAGATATGAAATGAATTTCGAGAAAGAGTTAGTTCAAAATAACGAATATGACTAAACAAAATTCTAGATTTAACTAATGCATCCAAAGCAAAACAAAAATTTCTGGAATGCACATGTCTAGTCCTCAGTTTACATTACCCTGTGGCCTGTAAGTAGCTTAATACACAGCTAAACCCTCCTATCCACCAATAAACCAGACTTTTGAACAAATCTTAAAGTGTATTATAAAGAGCAGGGTAGTCAGTTCTTTAGCTGTGCTGGGAGCTCAGCCTTCTCTCCTCCAATGATCAGACTTCTGCTCACATGAGCCCTCCAATGCACAACCATTCACTGGGAAGTTCAGTGTAGTGCTGTTTCTCCTCCCCCGGCTCTCTGAGCTCCTTATGCAGCTGAGAAAAGAGGGTATGTGATCTCTTATATAAAAAGTGAAAAAAGGTATTTATGAAGTTATAATATGTATACACAAACATTTTGCCTTTCATTTCTATTTTAAATGTAATGGGTTGTTTTACAAGGTGAGGGTTTACATATACTTTAACAACAGCAATGGCAAACAATGTGAATGAACATTGGGGTGTAGCGCTGATCCTAAAAAGGTAAAGTATTGTAACCACCTCAATGGTAGTGTATTTTCTATATGATGGGTTAAGATCCCTAAAACAACAAAAAAACCTTCCTGTACTACAGGACACCTTCCTCCTTCCTAGAACTGAGGAAATGAATGAGATGATCCTTGGGAGTCAATTCATCCTACAGAGCGCCCTCCCTTGTACAGTGTGGGTCAGGTGTGTATAGCAGAAAACATCAGATAACAAGGAACTCCTCAACTAATTCCACAATGTGAGTGGATGAAAATAAATAAAATAAAATAAAATTCCTCCCTCCTAGTCAAAAGATGCGAAGTAGTAAGTAACTATATTTGAATGAGGTGCTATAGTGCACCTCCCCCAAAATATGGAATACCTTGAAAATTGCAATATATATATATAATTGCAATATATATATATATATATATATTATGTTGAACAAAATCATATAAAATAGTGTGTGGTGCTATAATACACCTCCCCCGTTTTGGAATGTTGGATGCAAATACGGATATTAATACACAATGTGCAGTATACGATGAAAATATTAGTAAGCAACTAAATAGTCCATGCATAAGTACATTTCAAAGCCATGTGCAAATATAGTCCATAAGACACATTTCTTATGCTTCAGTGCGCTGTGAGTGATAAACAGGACAGGTGCTTCCGCATGTACTCCCCCCTTTCCACTGCTTTCACCATAAAGTTAGACCCCTGTTTCTGGTGGGTCCAACACACTTTGGGTAACTCCACTCTGCTACATATGTGCTGGAGAGCCCCTCCAATATAAGAATCGTTGATCTTCCATATGCCATACCATGAAGATGTATGCCAGGACTTCCTTCAGTTGAATTTGGTAGGCACTTTATGGCTTCTATTATGGATTTCACTTCATTCTCGGCATCTGTTCCATCACAATGTGCTAATCAAATGGCCCCACCCCTGTGTGCCTGTGACATGTAGTGGCATCTTCTGACCCAAGAACAGATATTGAGCTGTCACTTGGAGTAGTAGCAGCCAGTTCCCTTTGATGAATGTACAAACAACCTCTAGGTCCAAATATCTGTAATGGTTGACTGGTTAGCTCTCGGGCTTTTCTCCTTTATCTGCCCATGCATTTGTATAATCCGGGAAATAGGCTGGCTGACATCGAGCCTCTGACTCCTAATTAAAACTGGTTTTAATTGGGAGTCAGAGGCTCAATGTCAGCCAGCCGGATTATACAGATGCATGGGCTGATTAAGGGGTCAGAAGATGCCACTACATGTCACATTATAGTGCTTAGGCACATTGGGGGAGCACGTGTGGAAGCACCAGTCCTGTTTATCACTCACAACGCACTGAAGCATAAGAAATATGTCTTATGGACTATATTTGCACATGGCTTTGAAATTGACTTATGCATGGACTATTTAGTTGCTTACTAATATTTTCATTGTATACTGCACATTGTGTATTAACCACTTACCCTGCTGAGGATTTACCCCCCTTCCTGACCAGGTTCTTTTTTGCGTTAGGACGCTGCTTTACTTTAACTGACAATTACGCGGTCATGCAACGCTGCACCCAAATTAAATGTATGTCCTTTTTTCCCCATGAATTGAGCTTTCTTTCGGTGGTATTTGATCGCTTGTGCGGTTTTATTGTTTGCGCTATAAAAAAAAAAGACTGACCATTTTGAGAAAAAAACAATATTTTGGACTTTCTGCTATTAAACATGTCCAGTAAAAAAATGTTTAAAAATCTAAATAAAGTTATGCAAAAATGTATTCTGAGACGTCTTTGCTAAAAAAATCCCAATACGTATAAATTAATTGGTTTATGTGAAAGTTATAGCGTTTACAAATGGCGGTATATACTGGGATTTTTTTTTTCTAATTTTTACTAGTAATGGCGGCAATCAGCGACTTATAGACTTATGGACTGCGGTAGACATTCTGACACTGGGGGGAACTGACTTTGTGTCACGGACATCCCCAGTGACACCAATACAGTGATCAGTCCTAAAAAAAAAACACTGACACTGTACTAATGGCACTGGGCAGGAAGGGGTTAATGTGAGGGGCGATCAAAGGGTTAACTATGTGCAGGGAGTGTTTTATTAGGGGTTGGGGGGGGATGCGCTTCACTGTTAGCACACTGTTCTGGATGGCTGTGCTGTGCACAACCATCCAGAGCAGTGTTCCCGAGCTGACAGGGAGGAAGATTGTTAGTAAACAAAATAGTCTTCCTCCCCGTCGTAGATGCTCGGTAATCACCAGGCACTGGCGGGTAATTACTGACTGGGACCTGGTGACTGACGGCGGCGCGGGTAGGGCACATGCGCGGCTCGCATGTGCCCCCTACGTGGAAATGCAAAATCCGTGATTTTGCACACCCCTACTGCCCTGTAGCAGTATATCTGCTATAGGGCGGTGGGGAAGTGGTTAATATCTGTATTTGCATTCAACATTCCAAAATGGGGGAGGTGTATTATAGCACCATGCACTATTTTATACGATTTAGTTTCACCATAATATACTGCAATTTGCAAGGTATTCCATATTTTGGGGGAGGTGCACTATAGCACCTCAGTCAAATATAGTTACTACTTCACATCTTTTGACTTGGAGGGAGGAATTTTATTTTATTTATTTTCATCCACTCACTTTGCAGAATCAGCTGAGGAGATCCTTGCTATCTGATGTTTTCTGCCATACCCACCTGACCCACACTTTACAAGGGAGGGCGCTCTATAGGACGATAAGACTCCCAAGAATCATCTCATTCATTTCTTCAATTCTAGGAAGGAGGAAGGTGTACTGTAGTATGGGAAGGTTTTTTTGTGTTTAGGGATCTT